CTTCAATCTATATCACAGAGCATTCTTCGCCTGGAATTTTCAAAGAGGTTTGTTTGGCTTCAGAGCTGACATTAACTACAAACAAATGGCAAACAATTCCGCGCGTGAATGGGCTGTTGAGTGAGTACTGTATTTCAAACTATACTTATTTTTCAATAAGTTTTGTCTTTAAATATACTTTTAATATTGAAAAGCAATGCTTACTTCGACTCGACGCCCGACTATTGGTTGAACTCTAACCGCGAGACTCGAGACCAACATATAGTTCGCAACAAACAAATCGAAAACACAGTATCGGCTCATTTGACACAAGTGTTGTCGTGTCGGCTGAGGGAGGGATACACCATAAAGAGTGTGAACTATACTCCCAGTAAGACCTAATGACACCATTGAGACCATTGAATCTAATCATTGCATCCATAACCAGATGACAACCAAATAGAAGTGCGTCTTCTGCTGCCGTATAGGCATAACGAAAGAGTGTGAACTATACTCCCAGTAAGACCTAATGACACCATTGAGACCATTGAATCTAACCATTGCATCCATAACCAGATGACAACCAAATAGAAGTGCGTCTTCTGCTGCCGTATAGGCATAACGTCAACATTGAGTACAATCTCACCTCAACTTTGCCCTCAAAGTCTCCGCCGTATGTGTCCATTGTTTTGTTGATATCATAATTGTTGGTTTAATTGCTCTTATTCTGTGCCATAAATGACTGATGAATATGATTGTGAATATGAAATGACAGTAAATATGTTTGTATTATATATACAGCGCTGACGGCGAAGAAAGTGCACCTGAATGTCAGTATGAGGTGATAGTTGAGGGCAATTATAATTTCATACATGACGTGACCTGTGCCATTAAAAAGCCCATTAAAAGTGCTTACCGTTCGGCAACAATCAATCAATTCTGGACTACTATTAAAAGGTATGTCTAAACATTATTTTTATCCCAAAAATACTGTATAATTGTACAAAATGTATGCAAATACGAAATAAACAGACTTTAAAAAGTTTATTACTGTATACTGTACTGTACTTAAGAACTTATCCGAAAGCAGTTGCAATCAGGTTTACAATTTATTTACTGTCTAAGTGTTTGAACTAAATACCGTATATCGGGAATTGTTATTAATATGTGAGAGCATTCGAGTACTAAACTAAATTTTATAATAATATCCATTAATACAAAATATAATATAAATGTCAGATTACTGTAAAGTACAGTACAGTACAGTATATTGTACTGTAGGAGAGTTACCATTGTTATGAATTTGAGATAATTAATTTGTCTCGATTTATAAGATTAAAAAGTATTTTTAAAAATATTGCATCAAAACAATTTAGCAAATAAAAGTTGGTTAAACAGAATTACAGTTATTTTCAATGAATTGTATAACAGTTTAACGGAATCAGACAAACATGAAATCCATTTGCATAACTTTACGCGTAACGCGTGGAGTCGGAACATTCCCGAGAGCATCAAGAATGGAGTTCCCCTTTTCTTTATGCCTCCCAACTCGTCCGATGCGGTGATTTCATCGAAAAACATAGTCCACTCACAGTTCGCTCAGTACTGGAAATGGATGCTCGGTGTGAATGTGTGTGAGAAATGGATGCATACCCACCGAATCCATGTGATACTCGAACATGACTTTC